ACCTGAAGTAGTCTCAGCTGCTACTTCTCCGCCATCTTGACTCCTCCCCCCAATCTGTTTGTTTCTTAAATTCTGCATGGGAGCGAACTCGTTTGCTGTTTGCCTTTCTCTGACAGACTTACTGTGCTTAGCATTCTGCTCTCTAGCTGCACCCACGTCATTGTGCATGGCAAGATTTCATTGTTGTTGACAGCAGAGTAATATTCTGCTGTAGACGTACACCATGTCTTCTTTTTCCATTTATCTGTCAGTCACCAGTCTGGCTCTTCCCAGAGTTCAGCTACTGTCGGCGATGCTGCTGTAAACATTGGGGTGCAGGTATCCCTTTAAATCAGTATTTTTGTGTTCTTTGGGTAAATACCTGGTACTGCAAATGTTGGGTCATAACGTAGTTCTATGGTAACATCCTGAGATACCTCCATCCTCTTTCAGAATGGTTGCTTTTTAGTCATTAATGGAACATGTTTCTTAATGCTCCTCAGGAAGTGATGAGTGATAAAGCAAAGGAGTCCGCTGTTGGGACCAAAAGCCAAATGAAATGTTGTGGAAAACCCATCACTGAACTTCCATTCAAGAAAAGACTGACCATGATGCTGCTGTCAGTGAGAGAGGAAGGAGAGGGTTCATCCCAGCCTGAGGGCTCAGCCATGTCCTCGGAAGATGGTGAGGATGCCCGTCCTCCCCTCCCCTCCATGACCGGACCCAGGGCAGCACTACCTCTGGCTCCTCCATGCCTCAGGGTCAGTTCTGTCCAAGGTCACTGGCTTTGGGTGAGGCTGCCATTAATTTCTCAGCACACTGGACCAGGTGTTCACTCTGTCCTTCATGGAGACATTCCTGGCTTCCCAAACTCCGCACTCTACTGGTTTCCTTTTCCTTTCTGATCTGCTTTCTCTCCTTTAACAATATCATTGCTCTTGAGTCCCACTGTTATACTGTCCCTCATTCCACACTGCCTCATCACTCAGCAAGTTGCTCCAGGAGCTTCTGAGCTCAGATCCTGCTTTCCCACTTGACCTCGTGTAGCCCATTTGTTTCTGTGTACCCAGAGTGACCATGTCCACACAGGAATCAGATCATTACATGCATATCCTGAAACCTGTCATCAACTCCCTAAGCATGCAGAACAGAATCTTAGCTCCCGACACTGGTCTCCATGCCATGCACGACCTGACCTTGCCATCCTCTCCTGCCAACTCATGTCCTCTCCGTTTCGTCCTTGCTCTCTCTACCTCTGACCTTTGTTCCATGGCCCAGGCTTGTTCCCTTGTGTGGGCTGTGCAAGGCCTTCATGGCAGCTAGGCCTCCTCCTCTGTGTGTGCACAGGCTGGCTCTGTCTCCTGCTCCTCGCTCTGCCCAGGGGTCAGCTCTTCAGAGGGCCCTCTCTAAGTATGGCTTTCTGGAGGCTTCCCCTCCTGCTCTTGCTCACATCCTTGCTGACTTCCTTCCTAACACCAAGTCAAAGTGTGTTATTCCCTTTGTCCATTGTGCACTTATTGTCTATGTTCCCCATGAGGATGTTAAGTTTCATAAGGTTTGTGATTGTCTTTGTCTGTTCTGTCTGTCTGAGTCCTTGCTGATCTCCCAGTTTTTGGCACATGCCTGGCACAAAGGAGGAGTAAAGTCTGTACAGATGTCAGACTTGGTGTAGAAAGAAATTGACCTCCTGAGACAGAAAACATGGATGAGGAAGGTCATTTACTGACTGGAATTTCTAGTGACGGGGTGCCAATATCAGGCATCCTGACATCAAGTGACATGTTCAGATTTTCACTCTGTAGAGAGCAATCACAACAACATGAAATCATGAGTGCCAGGGCTCTGTGAATGTCTGGTAATTAGTTATATTGTCCAACTTTGTTTCTGAGTGTATGCATAGTGACAAGAATAGAAGAGGCTTCTTTGTTGTATTATTTTCATGAGGTCAAATTTTCAGTACTGATACATCTAGCTGGTGTATTCTCCTGCTGCGAAAAGAAATATTAGAGACTGTGAAGCACATGGATGTGCGTATGGGGTTGCTGAAATGCACATCATTGCAGCTCCTCATTCAGTGAGGTTTCCAGAGGCACCTGTTGTTCACAGTATGCACAGGGCGGGGAGGGGAAGTGGTCGATCCCCACCTGATGGCTTCTGGTCAAAATCTGATCTCCAGAGCTTGTGAGTATGGCAGGAGACAGTATTCCACACAATTAGATTCTTTGTGTCCTGACTTAGCCAGGGTCAACAAGGGGGGGCTGATTCACAGACCTGGTAGTGATGCCCTGGTGGGAGGAATCTTTCCCAGCTGTCTCTCTGCAGATGACCCCATGGTCACAGAAATATCTGTGTCGGGAGATGTGCCAGATCAACTGCTGATACCAGTGAAAATCAATATGGAAATAAAAGAGCAATTAAAGAAGGAAATTCGACATTTTGGAGGAAGTAAGTAGGATATGAATTTTTTATCAGTGAAACCACAGGAAGTCTTTTCCATTCTATGATCCAGACTAGATTCCACTGACTTCTTGAGGCTCATCCTTTGCCAGAACTGGGTTTTCCCAATTAGAATGGTTCCTCTTTATCTTGACTAAAATGTCCCAGTAAATTTTTTTTGTTCTTTTGTATTTCTTAATTTGTTATTGCGTACTCAATTCTATTGGTGGATATGTTGAGATACCTGAAAGTAAGGATGGAACACATAGGTACTCTGTAACATTCTAGCCCTTGAATGATCACTGAGACTCCAAGATTGAGTTCTAGCTCTTCTTTGTTCTTCAGAAATATTGATGATATTGTTTTTCTAATATCTCCAGAATATGAAATAGTCTTCAAATTGCTTAAGGGAGTGCAAGGACCTCCAGAAGTGCAGAAAAAATTTGCTGTATATGCCATGAAGGAAGCAGCAAGGTGAGTGTAGGAGGAACTGTCCAGAATGTTTCACAGCAGGGCCAGTGGGCCGCTGGGTGAGGGGTGGGTTTGGGCCCTGCCTGACTTTTCTCAAACCCTGATCCTCACTCAGAGTTCATGTTGTCTCCACTTATTTAGATTGATATTATCTGAGTCTCACTCATTCTTGCAAGCTCAAGGAACCTTCTGTTCACACCCGAGTTTGAGGTGGGCCTTGACCTTGAATGGGCACTCTCTGTATTTACTGGATTGTCCTGTACCATGCAGATGTGTTTTCTGTTCTCCTGTAAACTGAGCTTCTCTTTGTATTTTCCACAGTGCGTCCTACAACATAGGTTCTTTGGGTATCATTTGGTTAATGACTTGTCTCTTTATTTTCAGATATGAAAGACAAGACTTAATAAGGCACTTGAAGAAGGTACCAGAAAAATTGGAATCTGACCAGATTCTCAAAAAAGATAATGACACTCCAAACTTACAATCCTGTTATCACAATCATCAGTGAGAAGGCAGATCCAATTGGCTGTCCTGGAGTGTGACCAGATATTGTTGATGCCTCTAGCATGAGTTTGCCAAGAAATTGTCTTTTTGAGGCTAAGAAAAAGCACTGCAACTTTCATGTTACAAGTTTCTGTTAGTAAAAGTTGAGATTTTGCCCTAAACATTTTGTCTGAATGGCTAAACTGGTGTTTTTCTGTTTGTTTTCCATTGAGTTTGGGGATATTTTTAAGCCATCAAGTAAATACTTTTCTTTTCATCGGCATGCTCTGGAACTCATTGGCAGTTATGACTGGGTACTGTCTAACTATTTCTTATTCCCTTTGTCTGGGACAAACTCTCAGCGGGTTCTGGTGCTTGTCCTGAGGGGATGACTCACAACTTAATTCCTGGAGGGTCTGGACCAGTAGGTGTTCTGCCTGGATAGTGTTGTTGAAATATCCCATTAACTAATCACAGATACCTGGGAGTAC